TTCCCTTGTAAGGAGCTAATGCAGGCAGCCTGATGGCTGAGAAATACATAGACAGTTGCTTCTTCGAGTTCTTCGCCGTTCGCCTTGACAGAGCTTTTGGGACAGTGCTCGTTTCTTATCCATTTCGTCGTAAAAGGTGAACCTCCAATCCGATACTGATAAATTCTTCTTGTAACTGCCGGATCTGACGTGATTTTTGCGAAAACGATCCAGCCAACCGCAAATAACCAGTGAATTAGCTGCTCTTCATCAATACTGATGCCGTTTCACCAATTTAACCCGTAAGTGAATGAATCCAAAACGTAGGTGAAGAGAGCCGGTGAGATTATCTCCTGGGCGCATTCATCGATGGATTTGGATGTGACACGATTCGACATGACATGAGCCCAATTTTAGTTGTGCAACCAGCGTTTCACTTTTCGACCAGGCAGACTTAAACAAGGCATATGCCCATAAGTACGTGAAAGATGGTGAAGACAGCCGTCAATTCAGTCGAGTCGAAAGCCTCCTCGTAGTAAGATAAACAAAGTGGCATTTGACATCGTGCGCCATTTCAACTGCTCGACCACAAGTACATATTCAGCGGCAGAAAACCCGGTGCGAAAATTGACCTGTTGCCGAGTTGTGACCAGTTAGAGGTCTTTCCGAATATGGTTGAAAATCACTCGGCTGTAGATTTTGCAGACTTGAGAGAAGAGTGTGATTGGTCGGTAGCTCTGCGGTTTTCAGAGTTGCCTTTCTTCATAAAAAAGTCAATAAGAAGAATTCCTCATAAGAAGATTCGTTGTTGATGTTTCCCCTCATTACACGTCCTGTTCCACCTGACGGATTCCGTAAAGCGTTGTGCAAGTCCATAAAACAGAATTGTTTGTCCTGCTTAAGCGTGCATTGGTTTGTATCATCCTTGAATGGGCATTTGCCACTTTTGATGTTTCTCATTGCCCAGTCAACTTTGTTCAACATGTTTTTGGCAAAGGCTTCAGGGACAGCGTACGGACACGTTTGATTCACCAATTTCGAAGAGCACAGATTTACGTAACTTTTTTGTCAATTGCGATGAATAATTCTTGCGCCTCCTGCGTCCTTCAGGCACTCGGAATCCAGCATTAAGAAAATATTTCCATAGTGTGCCTAACTTTGCCGAACTAGCGCGTTCTCGGGTTGCGAATAGGGTTCCCCCAGATATGGAAGTAAGCTGAGGCAAATAAGCAGTCGCGAAAAGGCACCGCTCAGACCACCAGGGCCTGATACGAGTTCGAAATATTTTATCCCCGATAGAAGTTAACGGTGTCCACTGACAGTTTCATGTAGAAACAACAGCGACCCGTCCCTTCGAAGAAACATGCTGCAAACGTCACAGCTGCATTGCCATTAGACGTCGCTTCGTCAGCGCTTATAAGAGACATCTTCAATTAAACCCGGACATTGGGTGGCAATAATTGATGCGCCATGACAAACGAATAAATTAGCTTATGCACCCTGGGTGTCTCTCAAACCGTTACACGGCGGCAGTTGGTTATTCGACGGACGTGAGGCTATTAATAAACATATATTTAATATCGCCTTCTGGTAAACAGAGGCAGATTTCTATCGCCGTTTGCACTTACACCTGTAAAACACGGCAAAGCAAGAAGCGTTAAACCGTCTAATGAAGTTAACGTGAGGAACAGCTTGCGATATCCTTCGCCTCTGAAGATGGGACGGCGGACGGAGATGAACGGCATCTAGAAAGACCGTAGTTCGATTTGACTAGGAAAAGGAAAGGGTACGTAGAATAAAAAAGTATCGCATTTGTAGTCAACTAAAGCGGTCCTCCAAAATCATATCCCGTCGTGTGAAGTCAACAA